GATCACAGCACGATGCAGCCTCAAACTCCTGGCCCACCCATCCTCTGCCTCCCTAGTAGCCGGAACACAAGTGTGCCCCCACACCCCACTCCCTAGAGCACCATTTTATATCTCATAGAGTTAAACAAGTGTCTTGCCCACAGAGGCGCTCAGGACTATCATTTGAATATAATGCATACGGGAGACACTGGCTGAGAATCGAGCTGAATAGAAAACCGTGCAGACCCAGAGCCTTCCCCAGGACCACTGCAGCTCATCGACAAGAAGGAAGTGTAGCCATCTGTTAATTACGTTAAACCCCTCCGATATGATCCTCATAACGTTATGATATGCTTTTGCTCCTGAATCGGAACTGAAGGAAGCCGGCGGCAGACAGCGTAACCAAGAGCTCACTGCTCCAACACTGACCTGCTTCAGGGACTGTCCTCGCTCACTCTTTCTTGCCAACAGCATTTCAAGAGCGTTTATGTATAGCAAGAAAATCAAAATACATGGTAACATCAGCCCTAATTGAGGTGTGTAGCAATTTCTGGGGGACTTGAGGAAGGAGAGATTAATTATGCCTGGGGGAAGTTTCATAGAAGTGATATTCTAGCTAGATTTGGGAGGAGACCGTGAGGAGGCCGAGGTGAGACAAAAGGGCTACAGGCAAAGGGGGCAGCTCCAGGAGGCCAGGCCTGTGGATGACACTGAACAACCCGTGTTTAGAGAATGCATTTTCCCCACAAAGCACTTTCCACAGGGAAGTGCCTGGGCTGTAAGCACAAAGACGGAAGTGGTGCGAGGTGTCAAATACACAAGTCTGGCTGTTCCTGAAAGTTCAAACACATGAATGACAGTTCCAAAACTGGTTTGTCCTCTTTCTTCTGTTAGTCCTCAGCCTGTCCCACACCTCTGGTGTTTGCAGACTTCTCCTTGAAGGACTATGAATTGCCTGCAGCCCTGCCATAAACTGTCCAAATGAGTTTGCCCTCACCCTGTCTCATCATCTTGGATAGACAGAGCGCTGGTGATTTGAAACTGTAGACCGTGGTCAGGTCCATAGGGCACACCCAAGGACATGGGAGCGTGTTGGAGAGGCCCTGAAGGGGGTGCCAGGGGCACAGGGGTGACCTTCCCAGCAGGAAGTCCTGGGGTAAGGAAGAGGATGACCCCCTGGAGAGAGGAGAGGCAGCAGCTCTGGAGTGCTGGGGACAGAGAGGGGGCTTGGTGTGGGTGGAGAAGGTTGGGTGATTTGGTCATGAGTTTCTCCTTCTGTGGCTGGGAAATGACATGAGGCTCAGGTAGGAAGTGTGGGTTTGAGTTGGATTTAATGTGTATGAGGATGTGGCCGTATCCCTCAGGCTGTCTGCTGTTGGGTTTCTTCCCCTATAATTTAAGACTAAAAGTACTTGCCTCCCATATCATAATTTTATGAGGATGAAACCAAATGGGTTTAATAGAATAACACAGTTACATTTCTCCAAGATAGCATAGGAGTGAACACAGGGAGCATTCAACAAATTGGCTTTTTTTTTTTTGCTTTTGAGGCAGAGTCTCACTCTGTCATCTGGGTAGAGTGCAGTGGAATCATCGTAGCTCACTGCAGCCTCAAACTCCTGGACTCAAGGGATTTTCCTGCTTCGGCCTCTCAAGCAGTTGGGACCATAGGGAAATGCCACTTTGCCTGGCTATATTTTCCCCATTTTTAGTAGAGACAGCGTCTCACTCTTGCTCAAGCTAGTTTCTACTCAAGTGATCCTCTGGCCTTGACCTCCCACTGTACCTGGCCTAGCAAGTTGGTACAGTGGTCCTGGGGGAGGGTCTGGGCCCTGCACGACTTCCTGTTCAGCAGGATCTGCAGCCCATGCCCTGTGTGTATATCCCACTCAAATGATGGCACTCCCTGAGTGCTGCACTCCACAAGGTCAAGGATGATGCTCTGTGCAGCTGGGAGACAGTGCAAGTCACTCCTCCGACCGGAGCATAGCAGGTTAGTGTGCCAGGAGCACCATCTCCTTATGTCACCCTGGCTCTGGCCTACTTTCCATCATTCACACTCATGGAAGGATGTTGTGTCATCGATAGTCCAAATCAAAAATTATTTTTGTATATTTTCTATTTAGCTTTGGAGGGCTTTGTATGAAGGAAGGTGGCAGATTCATTTTCTTTTTATTAAATTGACACAGTTTATTGTGCTGGGCTCTGAGGACTCAAAGGCAGGTAAAACACAAACAAACGCATTGAAACGGTGGGGCCAGCGTGGGGGTTCACGCCTACAATCCTAGTACTCTGGGAGGTCAAAGGGGGAGGACTGCTTGCACTCAGGAATTTGAGACCAGCCTGAGCAAGAAAAGAGACTCCTCACTCTTCAAAAAACAGAAAAATTAGCCAGGTGTAGTGGTGTGAACCTGTAGTTCCAGCTACCCAGAAGGCGGAGGCAGGAGGCTCGCTTAAACCCATGAGTTTGAGGTTGCAGTAAGCTATTATGATGCCACTAAACTCTACCTGGGACCTCAGAGCAAGATTCTATCCCCCCTCCAAAAACAAAACAAAGAAACAAACAACAACAACAAAACAGGCAACGGGAAGGTGATGTGTTTCATGAGAGAGGTATAAACAGACCTGGTTCAGGTTTGGAGGGAAGGAGACCCTCAGGGAGCAGCTAGTATATCACTGCCGCTAGATTTGCTGCAGTAACAAGGTATCCTTAACTCTGTGGCTTAACATCCCAAAGGCCGATTCCATTCCTGTGGTGCACATCAGCAGGGATATTTGCTCACTGTGGCCACTAGAGTCACAGGTGACAGAGGTTTAATCTCAGAAGAGAACATGGGAACCGCACTGCCTCCTTATGCTCCTGTGTGTGAGTCCTGTGTATCCCCTCTCTGGGCAGCTTCCTGGCTACTGCTGGCCACTGGAGCCATGTCTAACTCCAAAGAAAGTGAGCACAAACCCAGACTGTACTCAGAAATCACAGCTAGACTCACTCAGCCAACAACACTAATAACTCACTGCAGTGACTTTGCCCCCCATTTGCAGAGCTGAGCGTGAAGGAGGAGGGCTTCCCTGTGGAGGAGCAACTTTAGGGAAGGTGCAAAGGTTAGACATTTTGGTTGCAGAGAAGGGGGTCTAAATAGAGATGCTGGAAGGGGCATCTGCAAGGCCCACGGCTAGAGCCAGGAAGCCGGCTGAAGAGGTTGGAGTTGGTTCATGAGACACTGAAGGAGCCGTGATTTTGTAAGAGTAACCTGATGATTGTGTGTGTGAGAGATCAGAGGGTGGCAAACTGGGGGCAGGAGGTCCCTTCGTTTTTTACATAAAACCAGGCAAAGGGCAATAAGGGCTTGACTAGGAATCTTCTAAATGGGGAGGACAGAAGGGCTATTCCATGGCTGCTTGAGAGAAAGCCTGACTAACTGGATATAAGATGTAAGGACGGGGAAAGTCAAAGGTGACCTCAGAATTTTAGACGAGGAGAATGATACCGTGATACTTAGAGAAAACAGAAGATGGGCAAGTCAAGAAGGGAAGTTTGGGCTTGTTGATTTCATAGCAAGGGTTTTTATTTAATTAATTCATTAATTTATTTTTCAAGACAGTGTCTCACTTTCTTGGCCCTGGTAGAGTGCAGTGGCGTCACAGCTCACAGCAACATCAGACTCTTGGGCTCAAGCGATTCTCTTGCCTCAGCCCCCCAAGTAGCTGGGACCACAGGCACCTGCCATAACGCTTGGCTATTTTTTATAGATAGGGTCTCGTCACAGCTCACAGCAACATCAGACTCTTGGGCTCAAGCGATTCTCTTGCCTCAGCCTCCCAAGTAGCTGGGACCACAGGCACCTGCCATAACGCTTGGCTATTTTTTATAGATAGGGTCTTGCTCTTACTCAGGCTGGTCTGGAAGTCCTGACCTCAGGCAATCCACCAGCCTCCGGCTCCCAGAGTGCTGGGGTTACAGGTGTGAGCCTCCACACCTGGCCTTGAGGGAATTTTATTTTGCTCACTCTTTTTTTTTTAAATTAGTGTTTTGTTTTATTTATTTAATTGTTGTTGTCATTGTTGTTCAGCAGGCCTGAGCTGGGTTCAGCCTCAGCGTATGTGGCCGGGGCCCAACCCCCGAGCTAAGGGCGCCGAGTTTTTGGCTCACTCTAGTTTCCCAGTGCTCAGAACAGAGCTCAGCGCGTAGTTAATATGCACCATGGAATCCCAGTAGATCCTAAATGGAGAAGTTCCCAGACAATATCCACTGCAGAACTGCACTCCTTGGTGAGTCTGTCCCAGAGCTTAGGTCTACCTGTCTGGTGTCTACTATGAGATGTGTTGCAAAGAGTTTACAGGAAAAAAAACGAGGGGAGGGAACTGAAAACTTTAGGGACCAAATATGACATTGCGGGGGTCCGAAGGTAGGACCAGAGTCCGGGGACGGTGGCCTTCTGAAGAAAAGATCAGTGAGTGTCAGATGCCGCCAATGGGTGCAGGATGTTGCGAACCGCTAAGATGGCATTTTGTTGAGCCACCCGGACCTCTGGTGACCTCCCCAGGAAGTGCTGGGCACAGGCCACAGCAAGGGCCTAACAGTGACAGAGCCCAGCTAGTGGCCACCAGGAAAACTAAGGGCCCGTGTCCTGATGCGGAGACTGGTCAGGGGCCGTTTGTGTTTTGCTTGGTTTGGGAGGGGTCATAACTGACCAAAGTGGAAAATCCAGTGGGCAGAGACAGAAAATGCACGAGGAAGGGACAGAAAGGGACGGCTTCTGGCATCGCAGAGCCGGAAGGAAGGTCAGCCCTCCGCGCCCAGGGCCACTGCAGGAGCTGAGGAGCGCGGAGGGATCCGGGGACCACCAATGGAGCGCGCTACGCCCTCTCATTCACTTCTGGCCCGGGCCTCCGCGGCGCTCGCCGGGGGAGGAGCCTCTGCCGGGGCGGCGGGGGCGGGACCGGGGCCTGGGAAAGGTGCGCGGGCGAGCGTGGCCGGCCGGCGGGGCGGGGCGATTCGGGCAGCCACTCCCTGAAACTACCTGCGCGGGCCGGGAAGAGTGAGAGCCACCGTCGCCGCTGCCGTCGGCCGCTGGGCCTGTCCGCAGCTCGGCCCGTCCAGCCCGCGCCCCACGCCCTACGCCCAGCCCGCGCGCCATGGAAGCCGTCGGTGTCCGGGGACCGCACCTCTGAGACCCGCGACCGACCGCCGCAGCCATGAGGAGCGATCGCGCCCGCAAGGGCAGCGGGGGCCGGAAGGACTTGGGCGCGGGACTCAAGTACAGCTCGCGGCTGGAGGTGAGCGCGGGCCGGGGACCCGGGGAGCCGCGCGCCCGGCGCCCTGCAGCGAGGCGCTGGGTGTCGGCTGAGCCGGGCTCCCTTGCCTGGTGGCGGCCCCGGCGCTGTGGGCGCACAGGTGGAATTTCCTGTTCAGCGGGTGCCGGGCAGTTGGCGACCGGGCGGGGCTGGCCGGACCTTTGGTACCAGACCTGCAGCACCCGGCTCCGCCACGATGAAGGCGGGCAGCCCCGTGGCTTGGGGGCGCCGAATCGCCCCTCCCGCCTTCCTGCCCTCTCGGTTCTTCCCCTGACTTGAAAAAAGGGGCTGGTCTTGTTGGCTGCGTTACTTTCAAGCTATCACTAGTACATGTCTGGGAGGAACCAGGGCGCGGAGGTGCGGAGGGGGGATTTGGAGGGGGAACCAGGGTTGGGGTGATTAAGACAGAATAGGACTTTCGAGGGCTTTGCGATCTCAGCCGTTCTCAGCCTCTGTAGAAATCTGGTTTTGTTTCTTTCCTTCCCGGTCAAAAGGCACTTCAGGACCTTTGCAGAGGGCAGCCAGAGCGTTGGCGGCCTCAGAGCCTGGACGAGGCTCTCTAGGGCTTGGGTTGCCTGGGCCTCTCCACCAAAGAGCGGGAGTTCTTTGGGAAGGGGCTGTGTGGGAGGGAATGTGCGAACATGTGTCTTGAGCCTTTTGGAAAATGCTGAAGCAGGGAGCTCTTCTTTGGCAGAAAGAACAATGAAAGACCTATCGAAAGACCTCAAAAACATTAATCTCACTGTTGGGGTTGGAAATGGGTTGACATTCCCTGTAGACTGACACTTAGGTGGAAGCGGCCCAGTTGTGACTAGTAGCCTGGCCTCTGCCGTCTCTGTCCAGTGGTACTCAAGTTTCTGGCAAGGAGGTCAGGGCCGGCTGTGAGCGGGGCTTTGGGGAGGAAGCTTTGTTGGGCCTCCCCTGCTAGCCCCACCACTTTCTGTGTTCCTGGGTCCCCTAACCTCTGCTGCTCTCAGGTCAGACCTGATTTTAGCACTGTCTCAAACGGGTTCCCTTCTTCCAAGAACCATCCGGACTTTAGGAAGGAGCCTGCAGAAGACCAGGTTCTGGAGAACCACCCCACCACAAAGAGCAGCTGGGGCTGGCCATGGATGTTTCCCTGGGTGTGCCTCTGCCCAGCTGTGAGGCAGCTTCACCTTCTCTCCCTTTCTGTAATCACCATGTTTGTGCATCCCTGGTAATTGCCTACTTGGGGCTCAGCAGGGAGCTTGCTGCTTGGTGTTTGTTATTTCTGGGGTGTTTTTCCCTCTCCCTCCAAGTTAATTCTTCCTGGCTTCTCTTCCTGGGACCCTCCTGCTGAGATGCTGGGAAGGCTGGTCTGCTGGACCCTCTGCCCACCCTCCTCTGTGTGTGGCGCAGGCTGGGCTTTGCCTTCTGCCTTGGCCCCTGCTCTTTCCCTTCTCTCCGGGAAGCTGATCCCTTCTCCTTCCAGCTGCTCTCCTACGGTTTTCCTTCACCTGGCTCGGCTCACTCTCTTTTCCTGTCCTGAGCTTTGCTGAACCAAATCGTGAGTAGTCCTAGGCCAGGCGTGACTGAAGGAAAGAAGGACTCCCAGAGACCAGGTCGTTTCCCTGAAGGAATGATGTGGTTGTTTCCCTGAAAGAATTTCCGGCCTTGAGAGTGAAGTTAAGAGACGTTGGGCCAAGGTTAGACCCGTGGCCATGGGCCCTCAGGGAAGGAGCCGAACCTTGTTTCCATTGCTTTACGTGGTTTTTCCTGCCTGAGCCTCAGCAGAAATCTCACTCCGTGGGATTGCCTGGCAGTGCCTGCAGTTGAGGTCTCTGTCCCTCCCCAGGAGTTGCAGCTGCTGCCCCTGGGTTGCTGTCTGTGTCGGCAGAGCTTGGCAGGTCCTGCCAAACCCCAGAGGGGTGCTGTTGTTTGTAAGTTCTTTTTTCAGGGCTGCTTCTGTGGCTGCATCCTTGTTTGGTGGTCCTTGTATCTAGCTGGCCCTTGCCCTGTCCCCACTGTTCTCATGAAGTGCTCTGATGGTCTCCAGGGCCCTGATACATGGATATCTTATCTGGGGACTGTGTGAGCCCTGCCTGCAGGAGCAGGTGTACAGATGCTATTGTCAGGGCCATTGATGAGAACGGGGAAACCACCTTAATGAGCCCCTCGGTCCCTGTTGATACTTGATGGTGATTTTGAAGCTGCCTTGACATCCGTTTATTCCTTCTCAGATCATGAAAGCCCCAGGTAAGACTCAGAATCCCCTAGGCATCCAAAGACCAGGGTTGCAAAACGAGATGTTGTGGAGTCAAAGTCAAATATCTCAGTATCATCTCTTCGTTAAATGGTCAGCCGTCCACAGGTTCATTCGGTCACTCATTCACACAACAGATAGCCACTAGGTGCCCCCAGACTGAGCATGTGCTAGGTGCTGGGAAGTTGTACTGAGGAAGACCCCAGTCACATACCCCTGCCTTCAGGACCACCCAGTGTCGTGTGGGATACAGGGAGTAAATTCTGAGCCACGAGTAGTAGGTTCTAGATAAGCCCAGTGTGGGCACTAAGGAGGGGCATCTCTAACCCGGGCTGGAAGGGCCAGGGAAGGTGACTTGGAGCTGGGGGCATCTGTGATGCAATGGCAGGAGTGTCCAACGTGGAGCGAGGCCTGGTGCCCCTGCTGTCTAGCCACAGGATTGCAGAGATGTTACCCCATCCCTCTGAGCCTCAGTTTATGTGGTTATAAAATAGGACATACTCATACTGTCTTTTCCAGATGTTTCGCAAGTGTTAAAAGAGACACTTTGCATGGAAGCTCTTTGTAAGTTGCAGCATGATGTTCAAATTGTGTAGTTTGAGTTTTTGAATTGGAAAAGGATAAAGACCCACAGGTGGGTGATATACAACATCAGTGGGGTGCCCGTCAGGAGGCTGAGAAGCCAGGTTGCCAGGACAGTAGGGTCCTGCTGATCAGAGAGAAAGGCTTTGAGGCCTTTTCCATGACCTTCTGGTTTACCTCTTCCCCCCCACCCCACCCAGTTTCTAGGAGAAAGAACCCTCTATTAAGGCTGCTGATCAGCCTTTGCCCTCTCATCCTCCTCCACCTCCCACCATAGAAAATAAAACTTCAGAGAACTTCCTGCTTTGTTCTGGTAAGGTGTGTGCAGTGGGTGGGAACAGCATAGGGAGGTGGTAAGCAGCAGGAAACTAGGATTATTCTGTGGGTGGGAGCTCACAGGTGCCAGGGGACCACAGCCTGCCTTCTCGAGGGGGCTGTATAGACTCTTCCCTTCACCTTGGCCCTGGCAACACCTGGACATTCACCACCCCTGTTTAGGAGATGTGGACACTGAGGAATGGGAGAAGATGACTCTAGTTTGATGGCTTCTTCTGTGGATAAGAAGCCCTATCACCTGCTTACAGGCGGCAGGAGAACCAGGGCCCCCCACCTGGCCAGTAGCTTCTGTCACTCTGAGCGCTGTGGTCCTGGAGTTCCCTGATGTCTGTTCCTTCTGTGGTCTGTGGTTCTGCCCATACTGTTGGCTCACGTCTCTCTTAAGAGAGAAGGTCTATTTTTGGAAGAGGGAGAGAGTAACAGAGCCCTGAGGGAGCTCAGCTCCCAGAGATAATGTTGCTTCTAATACTGTGTATGTGGCTGTTGGGGTGTCAAGAATACACAGGAGCACTAATCCTAATTATCACTAGCATATATGGAGCGTGTATCATGTGCTAACCCTTTTAGAAGTAAGTACTATTAGGCCAGGCATGGTGGCTCATGCCTTGTAATCCTAGCACTCTGGGAGGCCGAGGTGGGTGGATTGCCTGAGCTTATGAGTTCGAGACCAGCCTGAGCCAGTGCAAGACCCCCGTCTCTAAAAACAGCCAGGTGTGTGGTGGACACCTGTAGTCCCAGCTACTTGGGAGGCTGAGGCAAGAGAATCACTTAAGCCCAAGTGTTTGAGATTGCTGTGAGCTGTGACATCATATAGCACTCTACTGAGGGTGACAGAGTGAGACTGTCTCAAAAAAACAAAAGATAGAAGTAAGTACTATTATAATTATTACCATTCTTCTTTTATTATTATTATTATTTTTAGACAGACTCTCACTCTGTCACCCTGGGTAAAGTGCCAAGGAGTCATAGCAACCTCACACTCTTGGGCTTGAAGAATTGTCTTCCCTCAGCCTCCCAAGTAGCTGGGACGATACACACCCATGACAGCACCTGGCTAGTTTTTCTATTTTTGGTAGAGACAGGGTCTCACTCTTGCTCAGGCTGGTCTCAAACTCCTGAGCTCAGGTGATCCACCCTCCTCAGCCTGCCAGAGTGCTAGGATTACAGGCGTGAGCCACTGTGCCCGGCAATTATTACCCTTCTATAGGTGAGAAAAATGGAGCACACAGAGAGGCTAGGTAACTTGCCCAGGGTCAAGGGCAGAACAGTAGTGGAATCTGGTTTGGAAGGAACCCAGGTAGCCTGGCTCTGCTGTCTCCTACCTGGGGCACATTCTGCTACATGCAAAACAGGGCTTGCAGCCCAAGGGGCTCAGGAGAGAATGGACTACTAGGGTTAAATATTCATTTGATTTGGGTAAGAAATGGGATTTCTCTTTTGGGATGTTTCTGAGATGGCTGGGCCTAAATTATATATCCACTTAGTTGTGTAGGAATGTGGACCCCCTGGAACTGGCAGTGGTGAGAAGTACTCTGGGGGTTGCTCAGAGCTCATGGACAGTAATTGCTCTTTTCTCTGTGTTAAGGACTTTTCTAGAAGTAAGTCGCTACCAAAAATTCTATCTCAGGCACTCATCTTTTCAGAATTTGCACCTTCCGTCTGAGCTTAGCAGTATCTTGGGGTTTTCCTCCAAACCTTGTGATGGTTGGCTAACTGGTCAAAATCTTGGCTCCTGGTTCGGCACCTGTAGCACAGAGGTTACGCCGGCTACATATGCTGAGGCTGGTGGGTTCGAGCCCTGCCCGGGCCTGCTAAAACAACAATGACAACCACAACAAAA